CTATTTCCTAGTTAGAAAAGAGACCATGTAATAAAAAAAGTTATTTAGCTTCTTTCTAAATCTAAACTCAATTTTACACTGTATAACCTGAGGTCAAGTTATATCCCTGTTCATGGGGAAGTCCCTGGTTTTACAAGGTAACTGTTGATAAAAGAAAGTTTAAGTACAAAATAATTAAAATAGACCAAAATGCTTGTCTGAAGTTTTTTGTTTATAACAATGTGCCATCAGGAAGTGATTGCTACTTTATCATACTCGGTAACTTATTTGTGAGCTTCTCCCACAAAACCAGGCTCTTGGTCATTTTTTTAAAACATAGCTGGCAGCATATTTGAGTAGTCCACAGCCTAAGCTTTCCAAAAATGCAATTCTTTTTAAATATATTACATCATCTGGAGTTTGGCTCATTCACGTTAACAAGAAGGCATAGTTTCATGGGAACGGGTCACATTTAAGGAATTCTCCAATTAATAACTTGGGGAAATATTATAACGTAGAATTTGGGGATAGTAGTTAGGGAGGGACAATTCCATTGTGATTTGTTTTGTAGAACAAGACTAATTACATTGCTGGATATGATTTTTATAGTGGCCTTATATATTCAGTCAATTATGTATAAGGATTTTTCAAGTACAAGCGATAACATTAACAACCTTGTCATTCATAGATCACATGACTGTTACCGGTATGTACAGTAAGTACGTAAGTAATATTATCTATGTATATTAAGTAAGAATATTAAAAAATAAATGTCACCTTGTAATTCTATATTTAGAGAGGATGGGGTGAATAAGGTAACCACAATTCTTAGGAGTGGTTATCTTAAGTCCTAATAAAAATAATAGACAGTATTTTCAATAATAGACAGTATTTTCAGTATTAATATTAATCCTTTTTAAAATTTTGTTAGTACATGTGTTTTAGATGTGGTCAATAAATAAATGAGACCCATAATAACGTAAGAGAAATGGCTCTCATAACTGGGTGTGGTATCTGATATTCTAGAAGAACAGGTTAAATTGATTTGATAGTACCTTTGTTGTTGGTTGCTTGCAATGTCTGTTACAGACAGAATACTACATGTATCAGTTTATTTGTCTATTTCACATTAATATAATTTAAAATCATGACATTTTGATTCTTAGTAAAATTGAACTGTGACTTTAATAAATAGTATGTACATGTATCAAAATTATTTGATAAATATTATTGAAGTTATAATTAATAAAGTTCCTAACATTGATCCCAAAATACAGTAGTCTTTGAAAGGGTTAATTATTGAAATACCATTTTCTTGTTATTGTATCAGAAAATTCTAGTAAAAAGCAACGCTTGTTATTATCTGGCCATTACTGGTAATAAATTGCACATTTCATTACTTACCACATGTAGATCTTGCAGACAATTCCATGTAACCAAGGAAACATGACAATATGTCATTATCCAGTGAAAAATCATGTTTTTAATTAACCATGTAATAATTAGATAGTATAAGTTAAGATATTCACGACTGGATTATACAGCTATACATATGTGTGTCCCTTTTTAACATGATAAAATTCATCAAAAATTTCTGTCTTTTTAAAAATAATTAGTGACATTATACTGTCGTTATCAAGGTTTTTCAGGGTAGCTCATCAGTCATTATTCTAGATAAAGGATGGCTCAGTGACAGTGTAGTAAAACTGATTTATATATAAAGAAGCCACCTAACAATAACATATAAATATATTTTACAGTGAATCAAATGAGTTAATACTGTGCATAAGAAATGTTTATCCATTTCTTTGATAGACCTACATAGTACAAGCTTCAATTAATTGAAGCTCTGTGGCACTTTTTTGCAAAAATACAAACTTTCATGTGGGTGGATATTACATGTATTTATCACTTCATAATGTCACTTACTGTGTAACATTATTTTGGTTGCTAAATGCCAACCAATTGTATTTGGTTTGTAATATTCAGTTAATGACATTATAACAATGTTTGTAGATGCCAAAATTATAGAGTGGCTGGCTATTTTAAAGTATTATACCTATTGTTAATATACCTAAAAGAACTTATCAACAAGGCATTTGCACCATCAAGGCTACACTGGATAATTTGGACTATGTATTTCCTTGAAGAGCACAGACTCTATCATACTTTAATCATAGCCAGGGATGTCGGCTGACCAGTCTGAAGGCCGCATTTATACAGTAGCCTTTTTAGTTTTTACACAGTATAAGCGTTATATACATGTACAGTACTAAATATATCGATTTTTGATTGATATGATCAGTCATTCAGTTTTTAAATTGAATGTTTATGCAATTTCTATTAACTAACCTTTTGAAATAAAAGTTTTTAAAACTGATTCATGTATGTCCATATTTATCTGTTTATTTACTTTGTTTACAAAATAGAAATAAAGTGAAAGTAGAACATGCATAAAGTGTTAGCATTAAATAATAAAGTAATAAAGATAAAATGTGGCTGCTTAAAACATTGACAATTTGTCTAGGGAATGCCTGAGCGCCACTTTCTGTATTGTGTAATTTGTGTGAAAGCCAAGCTCGGAATTGTAAAGAAATTAGATCAAATTATGGAAACCTGTGTTTCATGACCAAGGTTGTATGCCAGCCAAAGATAAAAAAAAAAAAAAAGTATATTCAAAGGTTGTTGAACCAAGTGATCAACTGGGCTGTTGTAGTGATATCTGGGAAAACCACTCTGGTTATTGACCTTTATTCACATAAAATGAGCTTCTTCCAATTAGTATTAATATATGACAATTAATGTAGGTAAAACTAATTAGTTTGACAGATGTGTACAGTACTAAACTTTATTTATATTTATAGGCACCATAACGTAAAACAATACAGTAGGGCTGCAACGATACACCAGGCCACGATACGATTAATATCGCGATGCAGTTTTCTCGGTCCACTGAACGAATTCCATTCTTGTCATAATTTACGGGAAATCCAAAAAACTCCCATACTTGTGACTTATACTTGGCAGAGGGATTTTCAATTTCTACATTATTTTTGTCGCCCGTACGACCTGAATTTGTTGACGAATGCATCATTATTAAAAATATTCTGTTGCTGAATCAATTCAATGGCTGGCTCGTATTGCTACAACAATTTCAGCCAATGGAAAGCTTTCTCGTTGTCAGGTCAGTCGTAGATGAGAGAATGGCAAAGAAAATAACAATACGAAATTTGAATGTCAAAATATTATTATACATTGAAAATATAGAAAAGATAATTGTGCTGATCATTGTATGCACCTATCACCATTCTTGCACAGTAGTCTTATTACAAATCGCATATTACTGACGTATTTATAATAATATGTTGTATGTTTTTTCCGCATATTATTCAAGTGTGTAATTTGCAAGTAACCTAATTTCATGTCTGACTTGCTTATCCAGACTGATATTTTATTTTATTCTTGACGAAATAGCTGAAAGTCTCGAATTATTCACGTGCCGAAAGCGAGTTAACACGTACTCGCTGAAAGTAAAAAAAGTTATTTTACTCATAGACTTATTTAGGCATTCCTCGTTAGGATATTTAAACGACAGAATGTCAGTCTATTTTTTTTTTAATTTTGGATAACGAATCGCGATACGGACATTGATTGTATTGTGCATCGTGGATTTTTAAACTATCGCGGTTCATCGATTCATCGATGAATCGTTGCAGCCCTACAATACAGCGATCGTGAGTGACATATTCATATATAAAAATATGATTGACCATAATCATTTCAGCTGAGCTAATCAATAAAAAAAAACAGGTCTTTACATTTACTTTTGAATAAGAATTCATATCAAAATTAACAGTACATACATGGGTGAAAGAAAACATGCATTATCTATTGAACACATTTTTTTGTACCCGCAGTCTGAAAGTAAAATAAAAAAATTAAGCTCCATTCTATACATTTCATCAAGAACGTCACTGTGTCACTTATCAATATCGTATTACTACGGTATATCAGTAATTTGATTTTTTTCAATAAACCGAGGAGAAATGAAATTTTATAGTTTGATTTGAAACATTTATTTAAAAGAAAACTGAAAAAATTGATCTGTAATCCATGTGTTATTAATGAAAGATCAACATTTCTAAGTCTGTGTATTATGTAGGCCTATAAATAAACTGAAGCTTTTTAATTTAAAACTCTTGTGCATCACATCCTACTAAAATACAGTTCAATAATTTTAAAATGTATAATGTCCAATATTCACATACATGTATCAATATTAGGGTTGTTATTTATTTATCTGATCTAGATAGATTGTGTAATGAAAAAAATATTCATAAAAAATGTCAAAGTACATGAGGAATTTCACAATAGTCTGATTAACTAAGGTATATAATATAATCAGTCATGTGTAACGATTAATAGAGTGGGTGGGAGAGTTTTAAATCACAGTGTGTGCCGGTCGGTGTCGGTTTATGGGTTGAATACTAATAATGTATGATTCTTTGTTCAAGGGTAGCTTATAGATTGAATGAAACAAAATCACAATCATAAACTGTCTATTTCTTGATCACATTCAGAATTGTGACTAACAATAAATAATAACGATATTGAGCAATATCATTTCATCAGACTAAATCACAAAGTTTCTTGACCTTAGCTACTTGTCTACAATCTGTGTCAGTCCCAAAGTCTCACTAGTGTGTAGATTTCGCCTGTCTGTGAAATCTGAGTTACCGAGCTGGAAAGATCGAGAAAATCAAACTCATTTCAGAGAACTAAAACAATTTTTGACCACAACTATTTATACAACTATGACAATGTACTATTTTTCTAACCATAACAAGAGTATAATAGAACAATCGGCATAAATAATTCGGTTTTGACTGGTTCAGAACTACGCCACTAGAGAAGTGATATTTTGTCTGTGAATTATGAAGTCGCATACTGTCGAGTTCAAGTGCATTATTTTCAACGAAAATCTACGATCTACTTTTAAAAAATTTTATACTGGTACTCACCGCTTTAATGTCGAACATTGAATGTCTTGTATGATTAAAACCTCGCTTAATCAGCGAGAAAATTGACAAAAATATACTAATTCAGTTGGACAGCTTCCCCAAACGTGCTTTCCTTTAGAGAAAATGGCCGCTTGCGTGACGTCACGATATATGGAATGTTGGATTGAACTCACGTGAGTTGTAATAAAACCAGCCGATATCAGTCAAATTTTAAAAACATTTGCTAAGATCTCGAATTCGTTTATTTAATTTGAAGTGATACACCATTACCATACATATAACCAAATTTCATCATCTCGCTTTCATTTTCTTGTGAAACATTTGAAATTGCGTCCAACGAAAAATCAATCGAAAGTAGACAGTAACTAAAAATAGCAAGGTGAGATTTCGTATTACGAAGTTTCCATTCAATGATAAGAATGACACCGAGCGTGTTTTATTAAAGGACATTCTAACTCTTATCATTGTTTACCACATAATATCTATAAATAACAATCCTCTGATATTATTTGTATACAATCAAACCATCTCTCCAGGATTACACTGACAAATTTCACAATTTCTCGAAATAGTTTAGTTTATACATGTAGTGTAGGCCTACTGTAGCAAATACTTTATATTATTCCCATAGCAGTATTGTCAACAAATGAGTTTGGAAGGTTTTTTTTTTCTTTCTTTCTTTCTTTTTTACACACATTCACGTAACTGGGTTAAAAAAAGAAATGATAACACGGTAACGTTCTCGTGTCGACAATGTTTTTAAAAATATCTCATCAAAATACGCGATTTGGACAACTTCCTTGATATTCATTGATAAGACAATCAACAAAAATAAATGATCGAATCTTATAATAGCATCGATCAGAACGGAGAAAAACTGTCTCATAGTCATATGGTTGGATAGGCCATATTGCTAGCTTTGAATGAAATGGGGTTTGCATTTCTACATCGACTGGGCTATAAATGATTATGAAGACGGACTTACGCCACTCAGAGTCAGTGTGCTATGAGGAAAATTTTGCCAGGACAGCGGTCTACTCATAATATTTGAATTTCAACTGTAGCCTACGCGGGGCCACGGTTTTTGGCCGCATCTGATCAACTTGAAACCGCCCTTGTCAGACCCTACGTCCTGCACCACTGACAAACAGCGCCGGAAATCCCAAGGAACTTTCTCGGTTAACACCGGGACCCAGTCAGTGTTTACTCACCGAGTGACGGCGGCAGCTTCGTATGAAATATTCGTTGGATCGCAATAGGTGGCGTGTGTGTTTGGGGGCGGGGGCGCTCACACACAAAAAATAGTCAACATAATCTTGTGTTATAATTGTCATATTGTTATAATTTTATGTACATGTTTATATTGTATGCTGTCCTAAATGGATGTTTCGATGCAATAAAATCTTATCTTATCTAATGAATTCCATAATGCATTCGATAATTTTTCTTTTGTCCCGCATTAAAGAAGTGCGTGGCCATTTCAAAAAAGGTCAAAGAAATTATATCGCGTTGTGATGCGAACGTAATCAAGACATATTCCTTCATCTAATACAGATACACATACGACATGAAGGCCAACTTGTTAAGAAAGAGTAGAATAGCTTATGAAATATACAGCAAGGTCAAATAAAAGTCACCATGAAACTGACACTTTACACCTAAATCAACGACGACGTGTCCTTTAAATAATACATAATATTGTTTCTGGGTTTTCCCGATATGCATATCAATTTATATTGTGGTATTATGGTATTGGTGATATACTACAGATTTCTAAATATCTTTAGACATGGTAGAATATATTTTTTTTAAAAATATAAACAAATCCAGTATATAATACATGTAAATATATAGAACACCTCACAATGAGGCATTGCATACTCTCTTCGAACTCTCTAATATAAACAGCTCGTTCCGTTTTTGTCTGACAACTTTACTGGAAAGGAAGAGACTTTGTCACGGTTGGATAAATAAGTGGTTGCCATGCAAGATACGCCCATATTTTGCAAAAGATGGACTGACAAGATAAAAAAAGGAGCGAACTTTTCGTACAATCAGAGGCCATAATTCAGGAAGTTACCGTCCGATACAGGAACTGTGATTTTCGGTATATAAACATATATTTCAAGTTTCATCAAAATAGGATAAAAATTGTGACCTCTATATAGAGAATCCACAACTTTGGTATTACATACTTTTACACTATTTGCGTACATTGACTGTCACATATATATGATGCGGTCATTAATGTGCTGACCAAATCCAAAATTCCCAAATCAAGATAGGCCTACTCCTTCTTTGAAAGTAGGGTTGACTTCCACCATGAAAGACATATTGTTATTGAGAGTAATTCTGGTTTAAATAGATATGGTTTAAATACATCAGATTGTGCTCTTTACTGTATTATGAGAAACATCAACTGTGGATATTGAGTATTCACATAAAATCTTCCTCTTCAGATGTTAGCTTACTTGGGAAAAATAGTGGATTCAGCATGTAACTGGGGTAGTGAGAAGGTGTTAATATTGATTTCATTCTCTTATAAAAAAAAAAGTGTCCAAATTCAGTTTTGAGGGCACTGGATTTAGAGCAGCTTCTAATTCCTTCCATACACTGTTAAAATTATATGTATGTTTACAGTTATAAGTATAGTAAAAATACAGTGTCGGATTTGTTAAATCACATGGTTTGTTAACTTACATTTAAAACGATGTAAATGCATATGAATACAAGGCTTATGTATGTTATGTGAGCTAGCTCTATATTAAAGATACATTAGTTACGAGTTTTATAAAGAGTTGGCCATTCTTGCTATAATAATTCAAAAATAGATGATAAAAAAAAAAGAAAATGTTGAAAATTTCAGTCAAATTACTTTGTTCTGAACGGAATTGTCACTGTTGGAAGTTTGGACTAGAAATAGGCATCAATTGTGTCTGTACCTTCTATGAGAATTGTCGATCGTTTGATTGGCAGACGATAACTCCACCCACATATTCTCGATTATCAGGTAACATGCTCAATGGCTATGGTAGCCTCGCTTGGCAGGCCTTTCATCACCAGTTTCCGGTAGTGACATCAGCAACTAACGATAAACGTTAGCTTGGTCCGCCATTTATTGATTTAATTTTCAATGGACTACTGTTTAAATCCAAACTATCCAAGTTTTATAACATCTGAAGCCTAAATAAAGACTTGCAATAGGCAGATTTAGCTCTTGCATAATGTATGTTTAACAGAAATACCATTTGAAATATTATTTTTACAGAAAATTGTAAATTTACTGTCAAATAGTGGTAACATCGGTTATCCCCCCTTTGACCACATATCGAATATTTACTGTTCTGTCAGTCAGTTTAGTTGATCCATTTTAGGGAAACAAATTATTCAAAATCTGAATGCACCGAACTGGCTAATAAAGACAGACATATGCAATAGATTGGGTTATGTGGGACATTTTGCTTAGACGGTGTCATGCCACCTACACTTTCCATTGTAATGAGCAGAACAGTAGAACATTAAACTCGCATTTCATTTCATTTCTTTATATAATCGAATGTTGTTTTACATGCTCGGCTGAAAGGTCCGCAAAACTTTCTTTATTCGCCAGTGTCGAACATTTTTAGTAATTTTACCTTGGCAAATTACATATTATGTAATTCAACAATAGTTATGGGGTATTATTACATATAATAAACTCTGTGAAAATACACGTTTTCTATTATTGTACCAATTTCTGTAAATTTATATCATGGTAATTTTACATGTACTCCATTTACAGATATGTAATTTTACCTTGTATGTATAATAGCTAGAGGTAAAGTTACATTACGGACTGTGAAATAACATGCAATGTTAAAATACAGTTATTACGATGGCAATATTTTTGCCACTTAAAATAATAATTTTAACAGTACATTCGCCTATAGGCAACTGATATAGGTTTCATTATTGAAAGATATTCTTCACAACTACGTTTCAAGTTTAAGTCAGATATTTTCCTACTTATGTCCTTGTCAATGAAATCTCTATGGTTTTCACAAATTTTTATTAAAACTGACCAATTATCCAAATATGACTGTAAACAATTTGTGGACTGTTCCATGTCTGGCATCTTGCGGTAAAATTAATTTTGTTGAATGCCCAGCTTTGTACCACGCATCTGTAAATGAGTATTCCGGAAATATATGCAAATAGACACACGTTCTTTCATACCCTTGATTTCTAGATCTTTGGATAACATATTTAGCCAGTGGGATGCACATCCGTACGGTACGCCAGAACTGGATGGTTGATATCACTACTTTCCAGGAGTCTTTCACGCATTTTGCTCATATTAGATGCATCATGACAAAACTCTTCACTTGCATGCACAGTTTAATTCATCTTTCTTAATACACTTTATACCGAGATCCAGTAAATAGTCAGAAGTGTGTGGTCCACTTGATGTGTCTATAGTGTCTGTTACATATTGCGTCATATTCAAAACAATCTTAAAGCGAGAATTTCATATTTTCTAAGCAAGTCAAAACATAATTATTTCTATGTCTTTTGCTCAATAGGTTATCAACTGACTATTATCAGAGAATCTCCTACCAGTATTTTTTGATATCAAAAAAGACGAGTAGGAGATTTTATTTATCACCCAATCCCTTCTTACATGCACAAATAGATAAATATAATTCTTTGCTGTAGATTTCACTTTTACTGAACATTAAGGCGTAGTGATACATCATTTTTTGACAGCAATTCAACCATTGCAAAGTCCTTTATATTGACCCAGTGTTTCCATCAAGGTCAATTGAATAACAATAGTTCATTTTTAATTTTAAAAAAGTTATTTTTAATAAGAAATGAACTTTTCTTTGAAAATAAAAAAGTAGTTCCTTTTCAACTGACCAATCAAATTCATGTAAAGCGATATCTAGGAGATATCGCAGTAGATTATGAAATATATCACACAAGCGATATCTACTGTAGAATGTATTATTGGGTGATAAACGATCATAGGTGTCATTCTCACACTTAAAACTCATTTACACAGGAAATAACAACACAATTACCTCCCTCGTTTTCCTATTGAAAACAATGGTCAGCCATTTCCTGAACGTTGGAATTTGAAGTTGAAAATGATATTTTTGCCAATTTCTCAGCTGGCAA